CAAATTAAACATTTAAACACATATACAAATAGAATAATTAAATACATTTAAAAATTAGGTCTTTAAAAATAAATGATAAATTATGCAATACCCTAACACAATAAAAATTACACTAAAATGTATATTGCACAGACTAAAGTGTAGCATAGCCCTACCTTTCATTCAGCACTGTATGTGTTTAATGACTGAACAGAGTTCAAGATGCGTATTGCAGTAGGGTAAAACCAGTTCTTAAATATTTTTGTACGAGATTTGATTGACCTAAAAGGTTTTCCAGAGGGCAACATTGTGAACAAGTGATGTCCACGGTGGGAGGGATCTCTTAGAAAATTGACAGCTCTGGTGCTGCAGCTGGACCTAAAAATGTCCTCCAGGGCACAGCCTTTTGAGCAGTGTTGATGACCCTCTGCAGGCCCTTCCTGTCCGCCACTGAGCAGCTGGTGTACCAAGTGGATATGCAGTAGGTCAGCACACTCTCAATAGAGCAGCGGTAGAAGGACAGCAGCAGCTTCTCTTCCAGGTGGTTTTTCCTGAGGATTCTCAGGAAGTGGAGCCGTTGCTGGGCCTTCTTGACCAGTTAAAACAGTTTCTAAATAATTTCCAAATTATTCTTGATTTCTTACTTTGCATGCTGGAACCTTAGCTTAATTTCTTTTATCAGTATAAATACACTTTTATTTGTGAGAATGTTAAGTGTTTCATGAAATGTGCCCAACGAAATGAGAAATCAGCAGGTGGTGCTAAAGATCAGCAAAACCATAAAAAGCACACTCCACTCTGACTTCAAAATGACATAAGCAAGTACAGTAAAACCTCGGATTGCGAGCTTAATTCGTTCTGGAAACGTGCTCGTAATCCAAAGCACTCGTATATTAAAGCGAATTTTCCCATTAGAAATAATGGAAACTCAGATGAGTCGTTCCACAACCCAAAAATATTCATATAAAAATGATTAATACAAAATATAAAGTAAAATACATAAAACAAATTAACATGCACTTTACCTTTGAAAATAATTGTGGATGGTGTGAGGGAGATGGTGAGAGAAGTTATTTTGTTATTTGAGAGGAGAGAGTTATTTTGTAGGACGACTCACTATAACTAATCACTGCTATCTGTTGGCTCACTGAAATCTTTTTCTTTTTGTGCTACTTTAACAAGGAACCTATACAATGACAGCCGCTTTTGCCTCCTTTTCTATTTCGGCGAAATGTGGACATTGCATTGGCGTTAAACAGATTCATTGCACGCACTGCTACACCCTTATTCGGGTGGTGCTTTTCTACTAAACTTTGACTACACCAGTGAGGCACGCAGACCGATACCGAGCATGGGAAACGATTACCCAAAATTCCGCAGCGAGTGAGAGAGAAGAACCATTGGTTCAGTTGTGATTATGCGACGCTAGGCAGACAAAGCGTATATGTAATATTCGTATTGCAAGACCTCGCTCGTTTATCACGTTAAAATTTATTTAAAATTTTTGCTCATCTTGCAAAACACTCACAAACCAAGTTATTCGCAATCCGAGGTTTGACTGTACTCAAATATGAAGTCTTGTGTTCATCTAAAACCAACTGACTAATAAAAAGACGTTATTTCAGCAAAACTATTCTTTTTCGCTTCTTTAGTTTTTATTTTTTTAAATAAGCACTGAAACTCTGAATCTTATGGAGATCTGATTTTTAAACTTTGATAATTGTTTTTCTCTGATATCCTATTTAGCTCAAACATTTCAAATCTATTTTACACATGTATGCTTCATGATGATTCATGATATGCATTACATACGTGACATTCAACACATACCATCATGTATTAATGTCTAATCACACATTCATGCAACCAATCAGTTCTGAGCAGCTCTTATTTTCAGCTACTCCTGTTCATATTTAACCAGCGTCCTCATTGTAGGTTGCAGTTTTCGGATGTGGCACAATGTCTGTCCTAAATCAAACCCATCATGTATCTCAAGTGCCAACACACAGCTTCCACCGCAGACTGCAGACCAGCAAACTTTGCATTTTTGCCCCTCCTCTGTCCTACATATCCTTAGTGACCTAGTTAAAGCCTGTCAATAAATGGTCCAAGTTATGTTGAGATGTAGCCTGTGGTTAAAGCACAAAAGGGCACACTCATTGTGATCAGAAGGACATCACCTCTTTCACTGGTTTTACATGTTCACAGAGTGAAAAACCACATATTTAGCTGTTGATTTTTTCCTTCTCATTTTTTTTTACTTATTCCAGCAAGGGGAAACCAAAACATGCCCACACGTAGCAATATCACGTATGCTATGCCCCAAAAACCCCATTGAAAACCCGTGTGATGAGCTGAAGAAAATAGTCCACAAGCATGTACCTCAATGTCTAAAGAATTTGGACAGATTATGACTTTTTTCACAGTCCATTTCACTTTAATTTACCAAGGGTATCAGTAAAAAATCAGTTATAAGGAGGTGTGTGTGGGTTTGCGTAGATCACATTTGGGGACCAAAATGTCTCCAACATGTGATAAACCTGAAACTTTTGGGGACATTTTTCAGGTCGCCATCTGGATAACCTCAATTTTATAAAAATCTGTGAATGCAATCAAAAAAGTTAAAATGTCATAAGTCTTTTTGGTTATTTATGGTTAAGCTGAGGGCTGGGTAGGGGTTAAGGTTGGGATTAGGGTTATGTTCGTAGAAATAAAAAGAGAGTCCCAACAAAGATATAGATACCTAATCTGTGTGTGTAGGTGTGTGTGTGTTTGAGTGAGCGAGTGAGTGAATGAGTTTAGGCGTGCATACTAATATCATTTCTGGTTATAGTAGAAAAATGTGATATTTGTTCATTCAACCCTGTTACATGATTTTCATCCCTGTTGTTGTGCATTCAGCCCTGTTATATGATACATTGTCTGTATTTTTATATTAAATAAACCAAACATAACATCAACATGTGTTTAATTATGTGCATTAAATCTGGAAAAATAAGTTCAGGAAAATTTGATTAAAATTACATGATCTGTCAAATTATGTCATCATAACCAGCAATGGATGGTGCATAACACTGTTTCTTTTTTAAATGTAATCATAATGCATGGACATCAAAACTGAGAGATCATACCAGAATTTGATCAGAAACCTATTGTAAACATAAATATTTCAATTACAACATGACTGTGACAGGGTTAAATTAAAGTGTGACATTTCAGAAAATAATGCAAAATAACTGCATCAAGGTGAAGAAAAAGTATTTTTACATAAAGTGTAAACATTACTCTGTCACATCATATCAACAAAGCTTTGATGTACTTTGTTGTAATCTTTGTCAAACACAAATAGCACCAATTCTATAGAACCACCCCTATAACAGGGGATAAGATTTTGTGTGAGCAACTTAGCTGGTTGCCAAGAGATAGTACCAGATCCGAGACCCCCATACACTCTGGGTATAAGATCAGCTTGCGAGGTACCTGTGTACGAACCTCAGCCCTTCTTCATATCGCTCAGAAATTATACATACCAGGTAGCATTTCTTGTACTACATTGTCTTTAACCCAGTCTGTGCTAGTTGAATCTAACACAGCAGGAATTTTGATAAATGTGGGACAAGTGAAGAACCTTGAAATTCCCCTTTTCAGGTCCGAGCCACTCCTTGGTGTACTGGCATTAGATGGTTGATCCATGGGTAGAGGTCCAGTATCTCAGCAGACTGCAGCAGTTACCCTTCAGATAGGTGTCTCCACCCTGGATCTATATGTGTGGAGTTTGAATGTTCTCTTTTGGTTCCCCCCAAACACTTGCTAAGGTTAATGGGATTTGTCAAATTGCCTATATGTGTGAATGTGTATGTGAATGGTGTGTGTGCCCTGCAATGGGTTATGCATCATCCAAGGTTATTCCCTGCCTTGTGATTGTAGCTTCCAGGATAGGCTTGTGCCCCTGAAGAGGACATATGGGTATAGAAAATGGACGGATGGATAATGCCCCATGAAACCCTATAGTAGTGGAACACCTCTTGTCTTGCTTACATGACACCGTTTTTTCATGGCATTTAGGAGATTTGGTCCCTTGGAGTCCACATTGTTTCAACCATTGTATTAATTTCTTGTGGGTCCACATGAATTGAAAGTCCAGATGCAGTTTTTGTTGAGCTGATACTCCCTGTCATTCCAGGATAAGTTTAACAAGGAAAGGGCACCTCTTCTTCATCCACATTGTCTGTGGGACTGTCCTCCTACTTCCTGGAACTCCCCTGCCGTGGAATAAAGAGTCCCCCCTTTCTCAGCCAATGAACAAAACTTTAGTTCTACATATTCTTGAAACATAAGCTAATGGGTTTTTGGAGATTCTATCCACCTACCACATATTCAAACAAAAATTATGACCGTAAAAATGAGACAATAAAAAGATTATGGATGTGGTGTCATTGAGTTAAAAGTCTAATAAATTATCATTATTTCATCACTCAGTGCCATTGTAACCAGGATGGTGATATGTATCATGTAACAATGTAATATCATCATTTCCAAAATATAGCACATAAAAACAAATCACAGGACATGTTTAGGGTTTTGTGGCTCATTATTTTGATAATGTTCTGAAGTGCCCAGCCATGTGTCCTAATGGGGGATGCTTTGCACATGATTGGCAACCACTGTTATACCCCAAATGTGTCATAGGCTCTCTAAAAGCTACATGCAGAAGATTCAGCTAGTAAAGAATATAATAATATTATAATTCAAAAATATAATAATCATAGCAAGAAGATGACGAACAAAGACAGAGATAGGAAACATGTACTCTTCCTCTTGAATTCAACATGAAAACATCAGTCCCTCCCTTCAGTTCCCCAGTCCCTCCTTTCTAAAACTTAAGTATGAGACAACCACAGAATGTTTGTTGCTCATTATTGCTGTGTATTCAGAGACTGAATAAACTAGTTCCCTCATATAGAGATTTTTTTTCATACAGTGGTTCTAATACTTTTTCTCAGTTCCTTGTTGTACTCTTTTTTGTTATAGTGTTTCAAAGAAGCTATGAGCATAACAAGACTGTGTGTTTTCCTTGTGGTCTTCTATTATGCCTGTAAGTAAAAATGTTAAATGTGCAATTTATTAAATGTACAAAAAAGTTCATTTTAGAAGAGAATATTTGTAGAACAAAATGTATTTATAAAATTTTTCTGACATTGACACAATTGCAGAATTAGTCCAGAAAATATTTTATGGTCTGTTTGGTTCGTACTGTACTTTTCAGTTCATCTCGCCAGTTTTTGTTAGCTTGGTTCAAATAAACTGATAGAGGAAATAAAATTATTTTTTTCTAGGTCCATTCTACCAAGGCTAATATTGTGAACACATGTTGTTTTTCCAGACACCACACTGGCTGTGTATGTTAATCAATCCAGTCTCTTGATGAGGGTCCAGACTGGAGACACTGTGACTCTGACATGCACATGTCCAAAGGATGAACTGTTTGTTGCATGGTTCAAGCAACCTGTTGGCCAGAAGCCCCAGCTCATGGCAAAAGCCTATTACCTAGCGGATGGTGAATTTTCCGAAGCATTTAAAAAAATGGAACGCCTTAGTGTACAGAAAATAGATGGAAGTTTTAACCTGACCATTTCCAGATTGGAGCCATCAGATTCAGCAGTGTATTACTGTGCTGCTGTGTTCTATTATGAAATCACATTTGGAAATGGAACCTTTATCATGCTGACAGGTAAGTAGGACTCTTCATTTTTCAGTAAAACACATAATAGAATATTGCTGTAAACCTATATTCTACAATATTATCTATTGATGTACAGTACTGCGCAAAAGTCTTAAGCAGTCAAAGAAAATGTTTAAGACAATTTATCTGGGTAGTAAGTGTGTATTTCTTCAGGGAAAAAACACAATTTGTCATTACAATGTCTATACATTTTACATTAACACAATAAAAAAATGAATTTCTTATTTTCTCGAAAAAGTTATTGATATCTTCTTGGATGGCTAGAAGGCCAATTTCCAGTTCCCAGAACTCTTTTCTTTCATGTTTTCATAAAATTTTACCACCACATTACCACTTACTAGATTAACTTACTTAGTGAAATAATTGGATTGAAGTATTAATTAGTCTAACATGGTATGCTAGTTGTCAAGTCAATAAAATTCATGTGCATATTGTATGGTTCCTGCAAATACCAGGGTGACTTTTGAAATGGCTCATTAAGATGAGACTTTGTAAATACATAAAATGGTAAATGGACTGCATTTATATAGCGCTTTTTACTACTCTTACGAGTACCAAAGCGCTTTACAATCTACAGTATGCCTCACATTCACCCATTCACACCATACATTCACACACCAGCTTATTATTGGTGTAATAGCTTTCACCAATATTTAACATTTAAACATTTAAATTACGGTAAGCATAATTGCAGCTGCAATGCATAGAATCACTGCACTGCAGCATAGAAATCAAAATCTCACTATAAGCTTCTTTTTCAGATAAGAAATCTGACAGCAGGACTGTGGTACAGCAGCCTCTGTGTGACACAGTGCAGCCAGGAGACTCTGTGCTCCTGCAGTGTACAATAGTGTCCGAGAGCTGTGCAGGAGAACACAGTGTTTACTGGTTCAGGCATGGATCAGGAGAATCCCTTCCAGGAGTCATTTACACCAAGGGAAACAGGAGTGATAAGTGTAAGAAGAGCTCTGAGGCTGGATCTCCTACACAGAGCTGTGTCTACAGCCTCCCCATGAGGAACCTCAACCTCTCTGATGCTGGGACTTACTACTGTGCTGTTGCCATGTGTGGGGAGATGCTGTTTGGGAATGGAACCATACTAAATATAGAAGGTGTGGTTGTTCACAGGTATTAAAATTAGACACATTATAATAGGGCTGTGATGGGTGCTCCCCCTAAATAAATCGAAAAAGGGAGGCACTTTGATCATTCAGGCAAAAGGGGCAGGTGCTTGGGGACCAGGACCGGGACCCCCCCCCCCCCACCTCCTGCATTATAATTGTTATCCATCCAACCATGCATTCATCCAACCAATTTTCCTTCTCTTTGTCCAATACAGAATCAACGTATAATGTATCCTAGGAAACTCTATTTATACACACATACGGTATGCTTTTTTGTGTGTAACTTGTCTCAATTTGTTTTTTCTTCAGGATCTGACTGGTTTGCAGAGAAGACTCTTTTGGTCTGGCTCTCCATTATAAGAAGTGGAGCCCTCCTTTGTGTCCTACTAATATTCTCTGCCTTTTATGGTGCATTTAAGGTTAAAAACTGATGAATGCTTGACATCAAAGAATATGCTCACATATGGTCTATTTTCCCATCATGCACACAAATAAAAAAATCATGTTTTTGAGTCACACATATTCCCCCCTCATCAGTGCGACCATTGTGCATAACCCAAAAAAAAGGCATGACCAAGTCTAAATGATTCATAAAGTTACGTCCTCAATGATTTTGGCAGCAAGCAATACATGGAACATGGAGTAATTTACATTGTTAACCTAATTTAAATCCACAGAAATCCATTAATTCTAAAAATGAAATTATGCCTGTAGTTTACTATGCTTATATTTGGTCATTCTCATGAACATGAGAGTCCTTCAATAAACCTAAATGTTACAGTGAAATATAGTTTTTGAATTTTGTGCAGAGCAATTGACATTACCTTAAATTATTTATACTTCTGCTAAAACTGAATTTTGCAAGTAACTCACTAAAAATTCAGAAATATGGGTAATTGAGTTATAGATTGAATTCAATTCAATTCTTTTTTTGTCATGTGTACAGTACAAGTACGAGTACCATGTACAATGAAATGCTTGCTTGCATGTGCTCCTGCAGACAGTGAACATAGACAACAAGATGGATAGACATCCAATCAATTGCTTTTGCTGCTTTTTAAATAGAATTTTTAAGTCATATAACCAATAAAAGTTTTGTTTGAATCTGATACTTAGCATAAGTTTAATATTGGTATGGCTGTAAGAACGAGTGCAAAATATGCCCCAATGTTATCGATTGATCATTTGAATAGAGACTGTGTTGGCAATTTATGATCATGAGGATGTCAGGGAGAGAATGGGGGTTCCAGTCGGCACCACTAGGGTGATAAGAAAGCAATTGAATTATGGTGGCTTCCGTTCTGTTTCACCTCTCTTTCAGGATTCTCACCCTTTGTTTGGAAATTTACTCACAACACCTACACACTGGGCATTATAAATGTTTATGATAAAAAGTAATGAATTACATATGAAAACAATGAAAACAACATTCATTTTTAACCACAAATAAAATCCATATGTATTTTATCATTCTAATGGGTCGTACACAGAAAACTTGGTCTTCACACTTTTGTGTATGTGGAAACCACACAGACAAAAAACAAAATGACTAAACTAAAATGCATGACAGAGGAAACTGGCTTATACACACACACACACACATACACATATTCAGGGCAAGAAAAGAGGATTATGCCGTCTGGTTATCTATGGATAATATCACTAATCATTTATTTAATTTATTAAAATGAAAAGGGACTTGGAAGTGTAATGTACTGTATCATGGTACTGGGTAAGTGTCACGCCCAGCTCCGTATGATCCTCGTGTGTGCCACGCCCACCTCGTTACCTTGTGTTATTTCCTAATTGTTATCACCTGTTTCCTATTTGATTTTGACTTGTCTTGTGTATTTAGTCCACGTCTGTGTTAGTATCCCCAGTCCGGTCATTGTAGTGTCATTCTGTATTGTCAGCCTGTTGCGTGCCTTTCCTTCGATTAAACCCTGTGTTCCCGATCCCTGGCTTCCTGCCCATTTGTCTGCGCTCTGGGCGCTTACGCATTGTGACAGTAAGTGGCCATGGATGACAGATGGATGGAACTTCACCAGTCAATTTAGAACTAAACAGCAGCAGCCTGATTTCAGGGTAAAAACCACTAAATAAAAAAATCACTTTTCATGGGTTTTAATGGGCAAGTTTTTAGCATCCACCCATTTTCTGGTTGTGGGTGGTGGTGTGTAGTACTGCATGTTCCATATAGGCATATAAGGCACCCTTTGGAACTGCACTAACTAAAGGGTAAGTCTGTAAGGAAGGCTGACCTAATGTTTCATATGTGTAGAGCCGTCTCAGTCTTTTCTGTCTAGTCAAATGTCTTGTACTTATGTGTCTGCATCGATGTTAAAACAAATGAGATCTACCACAATGTGACCTTCCTCTTGTGGTTGTGGCGCATGTGCGAGCGGCGACACGGTCTCTGTGCATCTTTCATACTTGTTTGTTAATGTTTGTTTTAGTCACGAAGACTCAAATCCACGGGAATCATAATTATGGAGCATAATCTAGCCATTCTGCTGTTGATACTGATCGCTTTTTCACTCGATCTTGTTAAATATACAGTCGGCTACAACTTTATATATGAAGGCCAGACAAGCCGCATCACCTACACTTGGGATTTTCTGTTGAGCCTCAGAGCTCCTTCTGCACATATCCAGACTAAAGATACATCGCTGTTACTGACCGAGTGTATCAAAAGCAGCAACAACTTTAAACCAAGGAAACGCAGAAGGAAGGGAGGACTTCAGGAGCAGATCAAGAGGCAACCCTACAGGCAACCACTTCCATCGGTTATGCTAGGTAATATCCAGAGTCTAAGGAACAAGATGGATGAGCTGCAAGCCTGCACTCAATACCTTTCAGACTACCAGCGATCCTGCCTTATCTGCTTGACAGAGAGCTGGCTTTCAGAGATGGACCCGGACTCGTCAATTGACTTAGAGGGCTTCACGTCGGTGAGGATGGATCATAATCTAAAC